GCTTCCTTGTTTTGTCTGCTTTTCCATGATAGTTAGTTTTTCTTAATAGTTCAGCTTTTTTTTAAATATTTTTTATTTTTTTTTTGTCATCTCCATACATCTTAAAACTCTTGTTTTTCATCTGCACTAAAAACATTTTTAAAACGTCATTACAAATATGCTTACATAAATCGGTTTGGGTTAGGGCTTGGGTTTTTATTTGGTTTTGCCATATTTCACAACACTTTTCCATATATCATTGCTCAGAAGTAACTACATAATTGCTACATGCATACATATGTATTTATGTAAAATGTTTTCATACTCTGTACTTTTAATTTGAGTACCATGTGTTTTAGAAACAGTACTTGGTTTTCGAAAAAAAGTTTGCTAAAAATTAGCATTGATGCTAAAAACAGACCCGAAGTAAACAAGTGGCTTCTCAGAAAAATGTATGTATGTCGGCTACTAAACATTAAATATATTTTTATGCATTAATTACTTTAAGCGTTTTCATTTTTCGGGTCTCTTTTTAATTTCAAGTTTTTGTTTTTAATTTTTTCAACTTTATTGTAGCTTTATTGATACTTAAAATTTCCAATAGTTTCTGGTTTTTGCTTCAATCTCGTTTTATTCATAGGTTTCTTATGCATTACTGAACTCTCTACTATCATTCCTAGTTTTACACTTTAGCGAAAATTTCTTCAGGCCCACTATTTCCCTAACAACTTATATTTGCTTTCCTTCTTTTTCGTTTGCTCTCCGAAGATGAGGGGGCGGGTTGGATTTGCTTCACGCACTAAATGTACAATACATATGCAAAAAATTGTGCAATTTACAAATATAATTTGACACTTCTTAAGGTATATGCGATTATCACTTTGTTGGTTTAATTAATTTTCGTTACTTCGTTATTTGCAAATTTAATTTAAAAAATATTAAACAAAATATTAGCCACTAAGACGAGATGCAACAGTTCACAAACGAAATTTTGAAATGTTATCAGTTTTTATTGCTTGCAGCATTGCAAAAAAAAATTGCAGTTGAAACAAAAATTTGCAATTAATTTTTGAGCTTAATTAGAAGCTATGTTAAACATATATACATACATATTGTAATTAAGATTTTCATTTAGACTTATATTCACATTTTTTAAAGCATTCTGAAGTCACAAAATTTTAGTTATAATATTATTTTCTTGCTTTCGTTGGCCGTTGCATACGTGTGCATGCGAGAGAAAAAATAAATAAAAAGTAAAATTATTTAAAACAAAATACTTATACCACGATTTTTTTTTTACAAATTTCAAGTTATAAATGCGATTTTCTTAAAATCAAAAAAATATATATATAAATTAAGGTAACTCGACTTTTTAGCTAATGTCTACAATCAACTGAACATAATCTCAATGCATTTTTAGAAGAAAAGTAATTTGAAGAACCCGTATTTACTGAGCCACCCCCTTTAATGTCCAGCTTTAATATCCGCAGCTCGATATTTTCATTAATAGAGCCTCAGTCGACACTTGCGAGTCTAGTGAGTCAATATTATTCGGCTAGAAATTTTGATAATGGTTTATATGCATTAATTCGAATCGTTCTTAAGGGAATGTATAACTATGGGCCACAAGAAAATTCCGTGCTTTTGTCTTGGCCATATATATCGTAATCCCCTCTCCCTTCTTCGTGAAACGGCCTCACACTTCAGGTGCAATGGTGTCTCTTTGGCGGAGTCGCGAAATCGACATATGTAAGTCGCTTGACCAGATCCCCAAATTATACAAGTGGCCTCTAAGCCTGCAATGATCCCACAAAATACCTGTAATAATTCTTAGCCCCTCCTTGGGGAGGTTTATAAGTAGCCTGTATCTCTTTAGATTGTACCGCCTAATACCCTCTTGGCTTGACAAAGTCCCGTGATGTTTCGCCAATGCAGTGCTCTCAGTTTACCGTTTTCCTTTCTAGGCGCCTTTATCGTACTGGGACTAACCGGTTCTATCGGGGTCGAGGCAGCAGCCAGTCTGGCTAGCTGATCAGCTTCTTTATTTCCTTCGACTCCCATGTGCCCTGTTACCCATATTACTTGGATATTATTGTGCTCATCAAGGGCATTAAGCTTCTCGATGTACTCCAGGACCAAAGAGTATTTGCCCTCGAAGGATGAGAGAGCCATAAGTGCCACCTGACTAGCACTTAGTATAAATATCCCTTCGATATTTCCTGCGCATAGACTGATGGAATAAACTTCCGCTTGGAAGACGCTTGGGAAGGTTTCCAAGTGCTCTGCCAGTTTCAGTGTAGGGCTATATACGCCTGCTCCAATACCCTCAGGGGTTTTAGAGTCGTCTGTGTACCACTTTAGAAATACTCCAGGTCGCCTTTGCTGTATATATCGACTTTGAAGCTACTTTCGAAGACCACTACTACACTGTGACTCCAAAACGGCTGATCCCTTAACTCTACCAAAATCAAAAATTCGAAACAGACGATCGCCAAGAAAAAGAAAGTTCATCAGAACTCGCAGCAGTCTTTCCAACTGGCCCAAAAATTTATTCGAGAGACTATACCTGCAGGCATTTACTACCTAGCTGGGATCATTACGCTCTTCGAGGCCACTGGATTTCGCTAAAGGCTAGGCGACACGTTAAATCTCTAAAATTACTTTACCTTGTAATCATTACTAAATTATAAGTATTTACTTTATTATTCGTTTATGATGTTCTTTATTTAAATTATGTATGTTTTTCCCGCCCTCAATTTATTTTGCATATCGAATTGAACAAGTACCGTTACTTTTACCAATACCATTAAAAAGAACTGCAACGATGCTTCTCTGTTAAATTCGAAGAGTCCACAAACCATGTAACGAAGTTTATGGGCGCGCAAATGTGCTGAAAATGTGTCCAGCTGGAAAATAGAAACGTAGAATATTAATTTGGGAAACTGTACTTATAAGAAGCAGTCCGGCGATTAAAAAAAGGTTAGGCAGATTTCAAAAATTTAAAAGGTCCTTAAATAAACAAATTTTCGATGACAAACATTAGCCAGATAAAAGCCACTTTACTCTGGTAGAATCCCTACGTCAAAGGGGCTATCACGGAATCCATCGTAAGCAGTCCGCTCTTTCGTAAAATCTACGAAAATGCGCTCACTGAATCCGAATTTCTACGAACGTGTGTTTTTAATGTAAACGCTGCACGACGTCGCGTCCCATCGAAAACTACAAGACATTGCCCACAATTTCGACTCGACTGGTATATTAAAACCGAAAAATTTGGCAGCACTGAATAGTTTTCGATAATTTTGGTTNTATAAGAAGCAGTCCGGCGATTAAAAAAAGGTTAGGCAGATTTCAAAAATGGAAAAGGTCCTTAAATAAACAAATTTTCGATGACAAATATTAGCCAGATAAAAGCCACTTTACTCTGGTAGAATCCCTACGTCAAAGGGGCTATCACGGAATCCATCGTAAGCAGTCCGCTCTTTCGTAAAATCTACGAAAATGCGATCACTGAATCCGAATTTCTACGAACGTGTGTTTTCAATGTAAACGCTACACGACGTCGAGTCGCATCGAAAACTACAAGACATTGCCTACAATTTCGACTCGACTAGTATATTAAAACCGAAAAATTTGGCAGCACTGAATAGTTTTTGATGATTTTGGTCGTCTACTTATTTTAGCACGACAGTAGGCAATGCCAATGTTGTCGAGTAGTGCAATTTAGTCTTGCGACTTACTGACAATGAGGCCAATGTACTTGCCTGGGATCGGTAAGCGGATATATTACCCTACGAATGAGATAGCGGTACCATCCATTCCCTATATAAAGTCATATTTGACGTCTTATCTAATCAGAAAACTTTCAACTCGCCTACACGGTTAAAGTAGAGACTACTGTAGATTTTACAAGGTAAAATATAAATTAGTCTAATATTTCTTAACATTGACCTTGTCATCAGAAATGTGGAGAGTAAATTAAGCAAAACTACTTACCGCTCTTCTCACGCAGTCGATTTCGTGTATCTCCACCAGTTCAGAAAATTCTTTCAACACCTGCCCCGTATCGTTGCATTCCCTAAGCGCTGCATCTAGCACGAACATCATCAATCCCGTATCACAGAAGAACACTATTGTGAAAAGCAGTTCTTTGGTTAGGGACCACAAGTTCTGCGTCATATTTTGGTTGACAAAGAGGCAAACATTATAAACCGTTCGCATATTCGCCGCAAATAGGCGTAACAACAAGGCAGTCAAAATCTGCTCGGCAATTGTGAAAATACGCTGCGCCAAACGGTAGCCATCGACGTGCAGCGAGGTCAATGAATTAATGCGACAGGCGATCATTTCCGCGTTATCTTCAATCAGCATTTTATGCAGGTATAGTTGCTCGTTTAATATCTGTAGCTGTTGGTTTATTTCAGAAAATTGTCGATATAGCTGGCAGAGCACATAAAAGAAATGACCTAAGGCAGATAGCATAAAAATATTCATCGCTACTGCAATAAATGTGATCGTGAGATAAACCGAATCGCTGCTTGATTGCCGGTGGACGAAATTATATGCATTCATAACGACAATGCCGTAGCCCAGAAGGTATTTGCAAATGATGAGATCGGCAATACGGCATTCTAGGGACGTCTTGCGTGTTTCACTTTTCTTCGCAGCTTCACAATCTCTGATGATGCTTTGTATTTTCCCGTGCTCGCTTACTGCGCCATTCCTTGTAGGATTTCCGTCAGGCATCACGTACTGATTTTTCTTTAATAAGGCTTTGTGTCGCGCTTCCAGCAAACAATAATCCGTGTATGCTTTCATAACACAACCTCGTTTGCACCAAATCTCTTTGACCAGTACTATAATGAAGAGAATTTTCGCCAAATATGTTAAACCATAGGTCCACTGCAATACCAAATGCGTAGTCATAAAACCAAGATTGAAGAAGTAAACGCAACCGACTGTGGTGGCGATTACACTAAAGAGATGTACAAAGGCACTATATGTCAGGTAAATGCGCGTAGAACGGAACTCCTTNGTAGTCATAAAACCAAGATTGAAGAAGTAAACGCAACCGACTGTGGTGGCTATTACACTAAAGAGATGTACAAAGGCACTATATGTCAGGTAAATGCGCGTAGAACGGAATTCTTGTTGTCGGCGGTCCAGCGGCGCTGGCAGCAGGCCAACCAGAAGTGAGTTGTAATAAGAAATGGTCCCTACGATGCGTAGTAAACGTTCGCGAAGCATTTTGTCTTTTCTACTGAGGTTTCCTATAGGTACTACGAGTGTATTTTATAGCAGTAAGCATTTTGAGCTCGCAATGCTGCACTTCCGGATAATTGAATTGCTAATGATATCTACATATGGGGCGTAGCTAAATGAGAGTAGTAATGGGGTTTGCCTTCCGTGAATGAATTAATAGTTGAACATATGAGTCGCATGTTGAATTTACTCAGACACCTGAGTCAAGGATTCTAGAAGTGACTCCAAAAACAAGCTAAGTTACACCCTGGTTTATTGAGGAGTTGAGAAATAAAAGGGATAGTTTTGCCGTCTCTAAAAAATGCTTTGGTAGAGGAAAAGAAAGACAAACCATCAAAAATTCATCAAAGTAGCATCACAGGACTCGGCCATGATCATATATGCGGTTATAGCGCCAAACCAGAAGAAGAAGACCCTCAANAGGAAAAGAAAGACAAACCATCAAAAATTCATCAAAGTAGCATCACAGGATCATATATGCGGTTATAGCGCCAAACCAGAAGAAGAAGACCCTCAGAGACGAGAGAGATTGCTACAGGCACGACAAAGGGGATAGCAGCCAGCCCCACAGACGTAACACCTTTTTCCCTACCGGTTCGGCAAAATACTTGACTAGGTGTACCTCTTTTCAAAGCACTCCCACTTAACCTTTCAAACTTTCTTTGCCATACAATCAGGTAAAAAGGACACTGGCGATAATATGCTACTATGTAATTTGTTTCGTTGCGAGTTAACAATTTTCATCGCCGCCCATGGCTTGCCTAAGCATTCAAGTAGAGATATGCAATAAATTTATTGACACAACACTTGCGATAGATGAATAATTTATGTAGTGTAAGCGCGACACATGTACTTGTCGAGTTATATGATAATCTTTATGGTAGGTGGGCACCACACTGTTAAGGACATTCTATTTCAGCGGCTAAGGCTCGCGCAATATTAATTTCAAACAAAATTTAATAAGAACAACTGTTGCATGCTATAAGATTATTATATCTATGTACTTGTAAGTGCATGCCAATGAAACTCGATACGCTGGAAAAGATAATCTGTGCTCGAATCGTCACAGACGATATCGAACTACTTGTCACGTAAAAAGACATTTTGCGGATTAAGACCCACGTGAACCCATGTTACTATTCGAGCCCTGGGTTAACTGTCCATAGATTTCAAGTTGATTTCTTGTGCCGAAGTATCAGTAAAGCAGCGTTTGCATTGTTCAATTTTTCGGCCTTTCAACAAATCGCTTTCAATGAAGTCAACTTTCGTTCAACTTTTGATTCAAATAATCGCCTGGGAAAGTTGAACAATGCAAACACTGCTTAAACCAAAACTAACAAAAAAGTTGCTTCTAAAGCGTTTAAAAGGGTTTTTACGTATGTACATATATATCCTAAAACATATCCTGGGAAATTATTTAATACATACGACGGTATGAATAGCTTAATTACCAAAGGGAATAAGTCAGCATTTTACCGATTTGGCAAATTTGATGCAGTTCAACAGAGCTCCTTTAAACGAACCTTAGTGCATCAAAATTGTCATATTGAAAAAATGGTGACTTATTCCCTTTGGTAATTAACCGATTCATATGAAAGCACGTGAAAATCGCCGCTGTGTGGCGTTTGACGAGAAAGTTTTTTGTATAAAAAAAATAATGTCCTTGTTTTTTTTTTATACTTATGAAAAGTCCTGCTTAATCTAAAAGCTCTATTATAGCAATATATTCTGATTGAACATTGCCCATTGAAGAAACTTTATAGGGATTTAAGATTGATTGCTTTTTTTAGACCAGTTGCTTTTTAGACCACAAAATAAATAATTTCCTTGCACTTGGAGGGACTTCCAACGCCATAAAGCTGTGATGTCTGTATCTGTTATACTCGAAAAGAAGTTCTCTTTGAGATTTTAACCATAATAAGAAATGTCCTATTGTATCCATAATGTGAAATTTGGGAGAAAGGTGTCCTATAAAAATTGGGTACAAGCATCTAGGAAGAAGAGAGAAAAATGTTCCTATAATTACCTAAGAGGATATAGGAATACAGAGAGGAGAGAAAAAGTGTCCTATAATTAACTAAAACGGAAATGGGCATTCAAGCGCTTATAGCGAAACGTATTGCTTCAGTGAAATCAAAACTGCGTTTCAAATACTCACGAATATCCTGTTTACTTTTTAACATACATACATATGTACATACTAGGGCTGTGCGATTAATTGATTACTCAAAATTTTAATTAATCATAAAGTAAATAACTCAATTATTCGATTAATTGGAATTTATGATTACTCAAAAGTTCAGTTACTCGAGTAATCAAGATGTTTGATTAACCAAAAACAAAAATATTTGAGTAAGCTGCATTATGATTAATCAAAATTTCGAGTAAAATGAGTAATCAACATTTCAACTCTTTACATATGTGTAAAGTAGTTAAAGTTCCTTGATACTTTGAAAACAACGTTTCTGTTTTCAAAAAGTTAAAACAAAAAATTTGTTTCGTATACAGAATGTAAAAAAGGAAATAAGCCTTTTCCAAAGCAAACTCTTTTAACGAGTAAAATTATTTTTTTTGAGTAATCATATTTCAAGTAACTCGATTAATCATCGTTTTGAGTAATCAAAATCTTGATTACTCGAGTAATTGATTAACCGAATAATTGATTAACCAACTTGCTCGAGTAATCGAATAATCGCACAGCCCTAGTACATACACATGTACGTATCGTTACTTTAATTCACAAAGGCCCTAACCAACAAATTTTTTAATTTACAGGAGAAGCAAAAACATAAAAATAATATAAAAAAGATAGGGCTTTTTAAAAAGTGGTATGTATTACCTCCGTTTTTTTTT